TATGTTAAATGTACAATTAATTGTTTTTATTAAAATTTAAAACTCTGTGATTGCACATGCCCGTCTTTGGTCCCTCAATTTGTCTCTATGTTTGTGCTTTTAAAAACTTAAGAGAATTAAGCCTTGAATTATGGGTTTTGTATAGTTGAGAAAAATCTGTCCCTATATACACAAAGATCCCACACACACTCTGCAACAAGCCTAACAATCTATCTTTATTTATTGCTATTATTGTACTGATATTTTTTATCTATAAAAATATCTGTTTACTATTACATTTATGTTACTATTAAATACAAATTAAAATACCATAAATGTTTAGTAACAGAGATAAAGACTTTTCTTTCCCCCATGGGAAATTTACTGCAAAATGTAGCAACAAACAAATGTGTGATTATATAGTATTTATTTTATTGAACAAATGAACAAAACAGGGGAGTGTCAGGTATGTTTCACACAAAGTCTGATCTTATTGGCCGAATAAATTTCAAGAATCCATTCCACAACCTCTCAAATTTATCCATTTCAAATCTACAAGTAAAAGTCAGTTTCTCCATAATGTATATATCATGCATCACATCAACCCAATTTTCCTTTCTTGGCGCTTCCACCTTTAGCCACTTCCTAGTAATTCCCTTTTTTCCTGCTAGTAACATGATTTTAAACATTTTACAATTCAGATTCGTTTTACCTTGGATATTAAGTCTTCCCAAATAAAATGTGTCAAAAGTGAGAGGGAGATTAAACTGTAAAATCTTGCATTGTTTAAGTTCCATCCAATATTTCACCATCAAAGGACAGCTCCAAAAAATATGAACATGATTTGCACTCTTTTCCCCACATCCCCGCCAACAGCTTGTATCCCGATATTTTGTCTGAGCTGGAGTTCTAAAATATCTCACTAAGTTTTTCCATGCATGTTCCCTCCAAGTTAAGGATGATGTCACTCTCCATATTTGTTGAGTGAGATCTTCCCATTCCTCATCCGTCAGTTTTATGTTTGCTTCAATTTCCCATTTTTGTTTTATATAACGTATCGTCTCTTTTTAAATTTTCTATCCCTGAATATATCTTTGAAATTCATTTCCTGTTTAGTTTAAATTGGTATGCGGAGATAAAGAGTTTTAATAATGTTTAACTCCAAGTCGAAATTTTACTTTTTTATATCATCCTCTAAATAATGCCTCACTTGCAGAAATCTATAAAATCTTGATTTGCCAGACTAAACTGTTCTTTAATTTCTTCAAAACTTTTACACTTCTTATTTTCTAATAGTTCCCAGAACATATGTGGGCCTTGTTCCCAATTTTTAAATCTATTATCTCTTTTATTAGGGGAAAATTCTGTATCAATCCACCTTAGCAGCTTATTGCTGTGTGTCAAGTTATTCTTTATAACAATTTCAAACCACACTTTAAGTGAAATGCCAAGCCATGGGTTGGGTACATTATTCGATTGGTGCCAGAGTTTGTTATCCCCGATTAATGCCTGTATTGGAGCTTCCGTTGTCATTTTCGTTTCAATTTCTTTCCACCTAGCAGAGTAGGAGGGATTACATAAGTTCAGCAAAGGCTTTATTTGTGCTGCTTGATAATAACTTTTTAAGCACGGGAGAGCTAGCCCACCCTTCGCCTTAGACAGTTGTAGTGTTTTATCTTTTTCTGGGTTGTTTTCCTTGCCAGATATATCTTGAGATAATTTTGTCCCATTCTATAACTCCCTTGTCCAGTATCTCCACTGGAAGATTCTGAAATAGGTATAACATCCTGGGGAGAACAATGATTTTGACCACCGTCCTCAATTCTAGATGTAAGAGTCATAAAGGGGATTAAATTCAACCTTGCAATGTCTTTTTCTATTTTGGATATTAATGGGTCATAGTTTGCTGACTTCAATTGGCTAATATCTTTTGTTAAATTAACTCTTAATTAAATTCCACTTAATTTCATGCTTTTCCCCGTTCGTTGGTCTGCGAGGCCAACACATTCTCATCCTATGGCGTCATATAGGTGACGCCTTGGGATCTGCGTCTCATATTGACGCTAAAGGATGCCATGTGCGTCGGATTTAAGCGAAATGTCAAAAGCGTCACCTGTATGACGCCTTGGGTTCTGCGTCTCATATTGACGCTAAAGGATGCCATGTGCGTCGGATTTAAGCGAAATGTCAAAAGCGTCACCTGTATGACGCCTTGGGTTCTGCGTCTCATATTGACGCTAAAGGATGCCATGTGCGTCGGATTTAAGCGAAATGTCAAAAGCGTCACCTGTATGACGCCTTGGGTTCTGCGTCTCATATTGACGCTAAAGGATGCCATGTGCGTAAGATTTCGACGAAATGTCAAAAGACGAAATGTGACGCCTTGGGATGAGAACGGGCTGGCGAGGCTTACCCGTCCGATGACGTGAGTATAGAACTCCCATCAGATGCTGCGAGAGCCCTCCCGGTCAAACGCCTATACTTTCACTGTTCCTCAGCCGGCGAGACTCGCCAGTCTGGTGCCGTGAGTATTGAACTCCCATCCGATGCTGTGATCAACCATGCCTTTATCTGTCCAGTGAGGCTTACCCATCTGATGTCGAATAGGCTACTAAACCACACAAACTGCGAAAAGCAGTGAAGGGTAAATTAAGCCCAAACAAGGAAAATGGCCTGCACCAGTAGGCTACGTGAACATACTTAGCTGGCCTATACTAAACTCCACCAAATGCGAATGGTATTATAGCGCTATAGCCTGACGTTGTCATACTTAGATTCTAGTCCGAATGTGAGTCTGATACTGCTCCATTGGGCTGTGATTATGGGGTGTGTTTCAACCGAACCAGGAAAGAAAATGCCTCTGGACTCAATTGGATCTACAAATGCCTTGATCGAGGTTCTCTGTTCCTCTTTTAAAATGAATGCGCTGTCTACATCTTCTATAACAGACACGATGGCTGAATCTACACATCTAATTTCTCCAGCGGCAGCCATTCTTTGTTGTAAACAAATTCATCCCAAGCACTATTTGGGGACCTGGATGATTACGTTACGGTTGATCATCTGTCCATCATCGTATAAAGCCCGCCCTGACAATTTGATTGGTCCGAACAGCTCTGGTTCGGGCATACTTGCTTCACAATGGATTTCGTAGCTAATAGGGCTACAAAACTCACCACACTTTGCAACAGAAGTATATTGACTGTTTTCTTTTATCTGAAATAAAAAAAATTCACCAACACTGTATAGCTAATATACTACATAACTAAAGAAACAATAAAATGGTACAATGCAATTAATATAATGCAATAGAAACACCACATCTCACAGGGAAACAAGGCATAATCATGCAACTTAAATATGGCACACGCTCCTTCGGTTTGAATGGGCATGATGACGATTCTGATTGCCAAGCCTCCCCTGATGGCCCACGAACCTAATCTATGAGCATGTAATAAATACACACGATCATCTGCGCCACCCTAACTTTGGGTTTGAGGCTGCTGTCCTGGCACTGCTGTGATTTGTGGTTCTGCAGTTCGATATATCTCGTCGGTGCTGCTGCTGAGATAGAGAGAGCAGTTACTGGTGGGTTACCATGATCTTCACTTTAGAATACTGATCCAAATAATTAGTAATTCCTTCAGAAGGATGTAATACTACTTGAGTCATTACTATCCAAAACCTTTCATAAACCTCAAAAGTTTACAATGACTTCAGTCATTAGTAGGGTTATCATGCTTTTCACTTTAGAAAACTGATCCAAATATTCTAAATAATGTGTTATGTTAAAGTTATTTTAATGCTCGGTGGCTGGTATGAGACACTTGTTGCATATTGCAAGCTAGATCGATATTAGAATATCGTATTTGTAAAAAGCTGGATGCTCCACTAAATGGTGGAGAAAATGCTGTATTACTGTTACTATATTTTGCTAACATAGCATAATCAGAAAGAGCTTTAGCTCTTTCTGATTATGCTATGTTAGCAACTTAGACAGAATAGTGTTGTCTCTGATACAAACAAGTTACTCAACGGTAAATCAAGAAAACAAGCTTCAAACAATAAGACTAACTGTTTTGATCTATATAACAATGATTCGTTTTCTGTCGATAAAGGTATCCAAACAGTTGCTCACTTGTCTAATAAAAGCAAAGTATATTAAAGGAGTCTGGTGTTTCCATGGTTTCTACGCAAGTAAAACTGGAAATCGAGGGTAAGGCGGGTATGACGTCATTGACATGCAGACACTGGCCATTACAGTGGTTAAAATAGCTGAACATTGTTGGAAACATTTGGGATATTGTAAGTACACAAGTCAACAAAATATATAGCATTGTTCTAGTGGTTTTTGGACATTTAAATCCAAAAATCTTACATATTGTGCCTTTAAAGAGGGTCTGAGGTAATACAGGGGTCACACACTGTTTGGGACCCCAACCAGAACATAAGAGTTAACATGTTGCAGAGATAATTTCAGGTGTCTTGTTTATGTAAATGTATTAAGGTAAAAATTGTCACAAGGTCACAAATAAAGATCACTTGTTGTTGTGTCTCATCCCCTCAAAAAGGTCTCTTTGGTCTCTCAAGAGAGATGATAAAGCATGATTTCATCATATCATCATCAGATGCATGTTCAGCAAGAAGAAGATTTCCATACTAACGATACAGTATGTATCTGCGGCAGGTCTTTTGTGCATCTGCATAAATTAGCAATGTCTTATGGAAATAATTGCCCGAAATATACTAATAATATAAGGTTTTAATGTTTTTATAATATTTTGCATTAATGTTGAACTTTGTTGTGCTATTTTTATGCCACTTTCAGATTCAGCTTTGTTTTCATTTTCTTTTTCTAATTGGTAATACAATCTAATGTTATTATAATATTTTACATTAATGTTGAACTTTGTTGTGCTATTTTGATGCCACTTTCAGATTCAGCTTTGTTTACATTTTCTTTTTCTAATTGGTATTACAATCGGTTTTTTTATCAGGTAATTGTGAAGCCGTATAGAGTCATGATCAACACCAATGTCACTGTCTTTACTGAATTCTACCTGCTGGGATTTCCAGGACTCCATCCACAGTATTATGGAGCTGTGGGAACCCTTTTGTTCTTTGTCTACTTGACACTGGCAGGAGGAAATATCTTTATTATTTCTTTTATTTCTTGTGAGAGAAGCCTTCAGAAACCCACCTATTTAATCTTCTGTAATCTTGCTGTGTGTGATTTTGCTTTTGGAACTGTCACGCTGCCTAAAGCCATTGCAAAATATCTATTCAATATCAACACTACATCATTTTATAGTTGCTTTGTGCAGATGTTTTTTGTTCATTACTTAGGGGGTATTAATTATTTTGTTATACTATTAGTGGCCATTGACCGGTTTGTTGCTGTACGTAACCCACTGAGATACTGTGTCCTTATTACAAACAAAACTGTTTTCCTTGCATGTGGGGTGATTTGGACAATGTTAATACCTTTGATGGCGATCATTGTTTATCATGCCTTCGATGAGCCCTACTGTGCTTCTAATGTAATAACCCAAAATTATTGTGAACGAAATGCAGTAATTAAACTCTCTTGTCGAGATATAAAGCAGAAAAGGCTTTTTGCTTTTGGATGGGCCATGTTTATTATTTTGGGCCCTTTGACTGTTATTATATTTTCTTTTATTGCCATCTTCACATCGGTTTTCAAAATTTCTGACATTCAGGCCCGATATAAAACGTTCTTAACTTGCACTCCACAGCTCCTCATCGTTTGTCTGTATTATCTCCCCAGATGTGTTGTCTATACATTTGATGTGACAGCTGCATTCACTCCTGACATTCGGATTATGTTAACTATGTGGTACAGTCTGCTTCCACCTGTTGTCAATCCCATGATATACTGCCTCAGAACCAAAGAGATCAAAGATGCATTAAAGAGAAAAATGAGACACATGAAGTTAGCATGCAGATGACAATGCTGATGGGCAGTCTAAAATATGTCAATAACTTAATCAGTATTTACCCCCGGTTTCACAGAAAAGGCTTAAGATAGTCCCAGACTAAAAAACATTGAGCTGTTTTAACTGAAAGCAACTTGCACTGACATATCTTAAAATATTAAGATTCATTTCATTTCAAGTTTCATTTTATTTTTTTTAGAAAAGATGAGTTTTTTATCTTTCATTTTCTCAATTTTCCTCTAACCAAGGCAAGTGCTCTGAATAAACTATTGATTAAATGGCACACATGATAAAGTTTAAAGGTTTTATCTATTTTGTTTTTTGTCTGTTGTGAAGAATTTCTGAAAACATATAAACTGAGGTTTACTTTACGTATTTAATCCAAAGATCACTATTTTTTTATTTCCTTTATAAAATGTTGTTCTTTAAAAATAGTATAAATGTTCACCATGTAATCATTTTCCTGGCTAGTTTCTAGACACATTAATTAGAACATTTTTATAAAAATAAATAAATAAAAATTAAAAAAAAATTAAAACTTAAAGATAATACATAAAATGAATGAGAAATATTGAATATCCTAAACTATTTTTTGTTTTGTTCAGTGAGTTGTAATTAAAAGGATAATAAAAAGGTCCCTGCATCCCAATATTAACACCTGAAAATCCACCAGAATTCCCAATGAATGAAGAACCTTGGTTTTGTGGACCATGTGGACTAAATGGCCACTAGATGGCATCATCTTCATTGTTTTCTTCAGATTGCCATTGATATAGTTCCTTTTCTGAGACCATTTGTTTTCCGACTTCAAAGCAAAAGGGCCCCTTGGCCTGAATATCAGGTATTAAGCCGTAAAATACCGGTTATTAATAATCATGTCAAAAATAATTATTTTATAATTATTAAATCAATATTTATTATAATGATAAAAATCCACCCAATGTTTTTTTTAAATCCCCATAAATCATAAGCAGTGTCTCAGAACAACCTGTTCTCAGATTCTGGGCAATGTGACATACTTTTGCACAAGCCCCTCCCACGACTGTTGACTGACACTGCAGTTTTAGCGTAGACCCGCCCTGAGTGAGCTAAACACAGTCCGCCATTGTTTCGACGCGGAGCAGCTGTAGACAAGAATGTCTCCAAAGCGATTGAGGTGTTTTGTTATAAGATGTAAGAATGAACATAGCAGCCAGTCATCATTTACTCTCGTTGTTACTCGATGATGGGTCTGTACCAACTGTTCGTGATCCCGCTTATAGTCTCCGGTGTGTTACTGGTCACGGCAGTAATGAAAGGGAGAGTGCGCACTTTATTACAGTTCATAGGAGTTGTTTTACGGATATAAAGTTTACCAGTTTATTAAGCACCCTCTGAAAAGGTGTGTGTATATATTTGTTTACTGTTAGTTGTAACATGTGTTTAGTGTAATTTTCTGTGTATGTTGATGATAATGAAAGGGAGAGAGAGAGCCCATATGAAAAAAACCTGCAAGGTTCATATACAGCAACCATATATCTTCCTTACTTAAATTGGACAAAATTACCTTATGTGTTTCATGTAAGACCAATACATGTCCTATACAAAATCAGACCGATTATGGCCCCTTTCATACTAAATAGCACACATACAACTTATAGGGGATTTTTGCATCATATATGAATACTGTAAAAAGTCTTATATGAGTTGTACATGACAAAAGTATGCAATGGTGTATGGTATTAGTAGAAAACACCCGATATTCATATACAAATCATTTAAAGTTCTTATATTGAATCATATGAGTTTTACATGACAAACATATGCAATCGTATATGGTATTAGTAGAAAATAACTTAAATTCATATACAAATCATTTAAAGTTCTTATATTGAATCATATTCTAGTCAAATTAAAGTCCTATAGGATTTATACACATTTTGTGTCATTTTTTTATACGTGTTATATAAAGTGTGTCATACAGATTTCATGTTTAGATGACCTACATCACTTATATGAAGTTTGCAAATTTGGAAATTGTACAGTGCAGAAGCTGGTTGGAGGATGTAGTGTCAAAATATCTCTGACCTTTATGAGGACTGGTCATTTTCCTTCAGGATTTGGACAGTAAATTTTAAATCTGGAAATCTCAACACTTTCAAAAGCGTTTCCTCTCGCAACACTGACACAGTGTTACAATATGAACACTAAGAGTAAAATATGACCACCAATGCAGAGAACAACAACACTGTTACAGAGCTGGGTGCAGCTTTGTGGCAAACACTGGCAGAGTTACAATTCTACACTGTTCTGGTGTCGACCTAACACTTTAAAAGAAGATGAAAATCCCTCATCATGGAATTCTTCTCAGCCTTAGGAGTCGAGTATTACACCATCCTGGTGTTGATAGAACACCTTTTTACAAAGAAAAACAACACTAAAGGAGTTACCAGTTTATCTTATTAGGGTTCTGCATTACCTACTTTAAAGAGCTGTAAAATAAACTGACAAATCATTTAATCTGAAAAGAATAAATTCACTTTGAAATAAACACATCACTCTATATTACTCTTTCAAAACTTTATTTCAAAACAATCCAGAAAGTTAAATTGTAACCTTAGTCTGGGATTATAGCAGAATTCTGTTCATTGTAAAGTAAAAAATAAAGGCAAAATGCAAACAGTGGTTTTAACAAACTATTTATTTTATTAACGAACAAGCCCCTTTACATCATAGGTTAACCTTTAAAATAAACAATGAATGCACACTATAGGCATTTCTGTCATCAGAATTATATGAAAGCTGCTTATCAAATGGTCTGTAATACTTCAAATCCTGAACATGTCAGTGAATGTAAGTCCTGTGTCAGTGAAGTTGATTCAGTACCTTTGACTCTGCAACAGTACAGCAGTGCTTGAGTCAACAACATTCAGCAGATGAAGAACAGTTGCAGGATACGAGTGGATCAGTTGTGTCCAGTTGCTAACAGTAGAGTTTCATAGAGCAGGAATGGCTGTGCAGATCCAACTTTCTCGAAAAATCCTGGAGTACTGGTTCTCTAGACAACACAACACAAAATCAGACCGATTACAATTAATACAATTTGTGTTTTATAAATACAGCAAGTTTATGTTGGAAAAAGTTCAAACTAGGGCTGCAACAACTAATCGATAAAATCGATAATAATCGATTATGAAAATCGTTGTCAACGAATGTCATTATCGATTAGTTGGTCTGCTTACGTCACGGGGAGCGTTTGCTGGTGATTGGTTGAAACAGGCCAATCAGGATGCCCTCTGTCTTACACGCGCTTCATGAGGCACACACGCAAGGTCTCTCTCCCTCCGCTGCTCTGCCGCGCGCTCGCGCTACACGGTTTGGAGCACAGTCTCTTCTGTCCCGCATGCGCGCTCTTGCTTGCGCGCTCAAATCCTGGGAGTTTGAACTAATTTGCGAGGATCAGGGAGCCGCTATCAATATGCGGGTGACTCCCAGAACTTCCGGGAGACTTGGGATGTCTGTATTTTGCGTCTCGAGCATCAGGTTGCACAATCAGTTCGCTCGCAACATAAGTGATGGATTAAAATAGTTCTACCGCAGAAATATTAAATTAAAACGGTCTTTACAAAGCGAAGCACTAAATATAAAGGCAGTTAATAACAGCAGCAGTAAATTATTGTTTTTTAGTCACTGTAGTCAGTGGTTTTCAGCGAATGTTTGTGCACTAATGCATCATTTTTCCTGTCTTTTTAATCAAGCCTGTTAGCTTGCTGCGTACCTCCATTCCGTTCTCTTTATATAGCATTTGTCTACTATTAAGTTTTAATTGTTTTTCAAACGCGATCTACTGCGGCTCTATGTTCACACGCTTGTTTTCAGTCTTTCTATATTTATTTTTACAAATGATCCTTATAATTCAATTAATTTTATTAATAAAAATTAAATGAATTATATATTTGAGATGTTTTTAGTTTATATCTTCACATCTGAACAACATGTCTGTAAATTTGTTTTAACAAAAATTGTGCTAAAACAATATGTTGGATATAAATGTTTTTTTTTTTTTTACATTAATGGTTGTCAACTTGCCATCAGCAATTATTAAAAACAATGCAAATTTTGATATTTGTAAAACTCAATGTGTGGCTTTTGCCCTTTTTAAAGTACACTTTTACACATAAATATCCTAATTTAGGGTTTTAGGTAACACTTTATTTTACGGTGTCCTTGTTACATATGTTACATGTACTTACTCTAGTAATTACAGTAAATTATGCATAATTACATGCAACTAACCCTCAACCTAATCCTACCCTATTCCTATAGTAAGTACATGTAGTATTACTCTGTACTTAAATATATAATTACACTGTAACAAGGACACCTTAAAATAAAGTGTAACCGGGTTTTATTTAGTCATAATAAACAAAAAATCTAATAGAATTTTTTATCCGATTAATCGATTAATCGAAAAAATAATCGTCCGATTAATCGATTATCAAAATAATCGTTAGTTGCAGCCCTAGTTCAAACATCTAACAAAGCGTGTAACTAGACGCGGTAGGCGCGAATTTGACGAGCTATTCGCGTCTGGTGTGAACGTAGCATAATGATGTACCTTCCTTTATGGGGCTTGAAAGTGGTAGTTGCATAGACTGTCAATGGAGGGGCAGGAAGCTCTCAGATTTGAATTTGAATTTTTGATTCAGTTGAATTTTCCTATTGGATGTTTGCGGTGGTTCGTGATGTAAGCGGTTGTTGGTGACGTAAGCAGGTTCCAGCTCACCACGCCCTTGGTACGAGCTACCACGCCCTTGGCAGTATAAAAACCATCTTGTTTCGTCAAAACCACTGTGAGTCAGGAGCTGGAATTGCGAGTATTTAAAACGATCAGGATAGAGTGTTTTAGCATCTATTTAGCATAGCATTTATATAGTTATTTAGATTATTTCGTGTAGCCTATGTAGTTAATTAGCATAGTTGTTAGTGTAGTGTTGTTAGAAGCATAGTTAGTTAGTAGTATAGTATTGCAT